TTCCAAAGTAAACAGTAAAAAAGTAACAAAGTAAACTCTAGTGGCGCCATCTATATGTCGACTAGCGCGTTAGAATCTGCTATCCTTTATCGACTCCCAGTAAATATTTCATGACATTTCATCTATTGGAAGTGAAGTTATTGCATTTTAAGTGTCAGTATGTTTTAGTCATCGGTGCGAAAATGAGCTTCGAACAACATTAAATTTTGTTTTAAAATTGGTAAAACTTTTACCGAAACGTTTCAATTGATGAAACAAGTTTATGGCGATATCCCGTAGCAGAGAGTATGAGTGGTTTCAACGTTTTCAAAGTGCGCCGTCTCATCGATCGACGCTTGTGGCCGATTATTTGACCAAAAATCACATTTAAACAATCAACCACTCCCCGTATTCACCTGATATGCGACCGTGCGACTTCTACCTTTTTGGAAAAATGCATTTGCCTATGAAAGTAAAGCGTTATGCAGACGTGGAGGCTATTCAAAAAAAATACCGGGCAACGAGCAAAAACACACGTTCGACATGCTTTTGGACCGTGCAAAAAGCTGTATTAAAGCAGAAGGAGACTATTTTGAATAAAATTAATTGATTTTGCCGATAAAACCATTTGTTCTGTCTTTTTTTTTAAAAGTCCTGTTTACTTTGGAACGCACCTTGTATTTTTATACTCTCGCAACCTGTTGCTACAGAGTATAATACTTTTGTTCACCTAACGGTTGTTTGTATCACCTAAAACTAATCGAGTTAGATATAGGGTTATATATATATAAATGATCAGGATGAAGAGACGAGTTGAAATCCGGGTGACTGTCTGTCCGTCCATCCGTCTGTCCGTCCGTCTGTCCGTCTGTCCGTCTGTCCGTCCGTCCGTGCAAGCTCTAACTTGAGTAAAAATTGAGATATCTTTATGAAACTTGGTAGACATGTTTCATGGTACCGTGAGACGGTTGGTATTGCAGATGGGCGTAATCGGACCACTGCCACGCCCACAAAACGCCATTAATCAAAAACAAATAACTTGCCATAACTAAGCTCCGCAATAAAATACAAGACTGTTATTTGGTACACAGGATCACATTAGGGAGGGGCATCTGCAGTTAAAATTTTTTTTTAAAAAGTGGGCGTGGTCCCGCCTCTAATAGGTTTAATGTGCATATCTCCTAAGCCGCTAATGCTATAATAACAAAATTCACTGGAAGCAAATATTTTTAGCACTTCTATTGACGGTGTGAAAATAGTTGAAATCGGGTGGCAACTCCGCCCACTCCCCATATAACGGTACTGTTAAAAACTACTAAAAGCGCGATAAATCAAGCACTAAACACGCCAGAGACATTAAATTTTATCTCTGGGATGGTATGAGATGACTTTATAGGAACCGCGTTCAAAATTAGACAGTGGGCGTGGCACAGCCCACTTTTAGGTGAAAACCCATATCTTGAGATCTGCTTAACCGATTTCAACCAAACGTTGCATAACGTTCTTTTCATGTTTCTATGTCACAGTGCAAAAATGGGCGAAATCGGACTACAACCACGCTTACTTCCCATGTAACACCATTTTCAATTCCATCTGATTCTTTCACTTTCCACTATGCAAATCAGGCAACAATGACTGTATCGGGATAAAACTTTGCGTGAATAATGCGATTAAAGTATGCCACCTTGTGGCCAAAAATTGTCTAAATCGAACCAAAACTGTTTAAGCCCCTAAGTACTAAATATGTGGACCCCAGTGCCTATAGTTGACCTTCTACCGAAAATATCAGCCAATCCACAAAGAAATCTCAAACGAGTATACTATTTGACTTTGCGAGAGTATAAAATGTTCGGTTACATCCGAACTTAGCCCTTCCTTACTTGTTTCGGAGTAAGTTTATTTGTTATGAAAAAGTAATCAAAGCTGAGTATAAATCAAGTAACAGCTCTCAAAAAGACTAATTGAGACAAAAGTATTGCCTCATTGAAAAACACACATCTAAAAAACACCCGTTATATTCCTAAATGTTCTTTTTATATACTTATTTATAGAAGAATATTGTATATAAATAACAGAATCTCAAAAGTCTAAGAAACTTTATATATTGAGTATATTATTAAGCATTCTTCCATGGACTTTAAATATAATATTGTTTTGTTGGTGTTAGTGTGTTCCGAAAGTTCGGCAAATTTAAATTCTTATCAAAATCTGCTTGAATTTGTACATCAATATTAATGAGGCCGTCTAATATAGTATGCCAGTTGTTGTAACACATAGAAGGAAACATCCGAGATAAATAAGTATCATAACGAGCGAAAAGATTTAGCCATGCACGTCTGTCTCTCTGTCTGTCTGTATATACGCAAACTAGTCCCTCAGTTTCAGAGTTATCGATCTGAATAGGATATATTAGGCCGATATCGGACCACTATAGGATATAGCTGAAAACTGATCAGTTTGAATTATTTCTTATTTGACAAATTATCTTCGCTAAATTTGGCATATGACCATCAGAATTTTTCGGTCGTGGCTATTTTCACTTCTTTCGTTTTTATTTCCACCTCTTTATTTTCTTTAACATCGATGCAAATAATACTTATATAGCCATACTTGTTCGTCCATTATGTTATAACGTCTTGAGAAAATCAGCATCAAGAAGGAATCACTAAGTCAACGTTTCACCAGTTGGTGCGTCAGCGAGAAGTTTATTACTGACATATTCTAGTCCATCAAGAAACTTTATTTTACTTAGACAGACCTAGTATGCCATCGTCCACATTTTAAGTGGTTTAGTGTACTTAGTTTCATTATAATTTAGAATTGTATCTTAACTGTCGATCCTTTTAAATATTGTACTTCATAGAATTTAAAGTCGATTCTATACACTGTTGCCTCAATTGTGTCCTTGCCAAGTATCTACTATCACATTCCGTTAGCCGTTTAATAGATAGATATATACATATGTATATACCTATAAATGTTGGTACAAAATATGAGTCCTTACTATAATTCCCTCTGAGATTGAATAAATGCTGCAAATTTTAAATTAATTTTAATAGTCACTGCCATGTTATTTGTGCAAGCATTTAACGAGCAATGACATGACATTTAAGCCATTTAATTGCAATATATAATACAATTGCGTTTAAGAATTAAGATCATTGCTCTTTGGTTGGCATACGAAGTGGCACAAATATGTTTGTGCGTATGTACGTATGTAAATATAAATATAAATACTAGAAAATGCAGCGGCGCCGTAAAAAAAAACGAAAATGAAATACTTTGCTAAAATGCTTTTTTCGCAATTTATTTGATTTTATTATTTTTTTGAAAAAATGCCAAATTTTCACTCACTTACTAATATAAACAAAAAACCAAAAAAAAAATAACAATTAAAGATTAACATTGAGAAAATATCTAACAATAACATAAACAAATATATAGGTGAAAATATAAAAAATATAAATTCATATCAACAAGTTGCATCCGGAAAATGAAATACGAAAAAAACAAGATTTAGTTCAATGTTAACGTATAGTCTATAAATAGAGAAATACCATACATAATCACGCAATACATTATTATTATTTTTTTTGTTAGTTTCCCTTACGAAAATATAAAAACTTATCTACCCAGCCTTCCATATGTCATGAACTACACTATTCAACATAGCGCAACATTTTTTATGATCTCTGATCTTATCTGATCAGTTATAGCATATAGCAGACAAATCAGTTTAAGAAGCACACCTATTGTGAAATTTAAATACAATATGGATATTTTTTTTATATATCGATAGACTATAACATACTTTTAAAAATTCAATAAATTTTTTGATTTTTTTCGACCGTAGTTCAATATACAGGTAATATCTTCAGGTAGAGAATTTTTTTTAAGTTTCATTCACTCATTTCATAGGTCGGAATTCCTGCAAGCTCTTTTTTAGCACCCTCGGAGACCGCGTGTAACTCGAAAAATATAATTTTTTCAAAAAAAAATTTTTTTTTTTTTAATTATGTATAAAGTATTTTCCCAAATTTACCTGTTTTAGACTATCATAAATTAAATAAAAATGAAAAAATCTTCAGATTTGACACATATTTAGTTTTTTTAATCTCGCAGCCTTAGATTAAGGTCGTCAATATTTGATGTTTATGAACCTAGAATTCTCAAAACATAATTTTTGCAATTATTGGTGCCGGGCGTTGAACTTAAATCTTCATTATTCTGTTTCAAATTATCTGCAATTAATATTTTTTTCAATTTATAGATTAGTGTAATTTCTAACAACAATGCCACACCACCCACACATACAAATATTTACTCATATCTGCGCGTGCAGTTGGACCTCAATAAGTCCTATTTTTATACTCTCGCAACATCTTGCTACAGAGTAAAATAGTTTAGTTCAACTAACGGTTGTTTGTATCTCTGTATAGTTTTATATGTATATAATAAAAATGATCAGGATGAAGAGACGAGTTGAAATCCGGGTGACTGTCTGTCCGTCCGACCGACTTAAGTAAAATGTGTGATATCTTTATGAAATTTGGTGAACATGTTTCGTGGTACCGTAAGACGGTTGGTATTGCAGATGGGCGTAATCGGACTACTGCCATGCCCACAAAACGCCATTAATCAAAAATAAATAAATTCCTAATAACTAAGCTCCGTATTTCTCATAATTTGAGTAAATTTTGTTTACAATTTGCTCTAATTAATTTCACTGTGAATGTAAATAACTGAGGCAACAGTTCCTACTTCTAATTATTAAAATATATGAAGAATCCTCAAACGAGTATATCATTTGATTTTGCGAGACTATAGAATGTTCGCTTACATCCGAACTTAGCACTTCCTTACCTTTTCATTTCGGTTTTCTTAATTCAGTTGTTCCACAATACGTATTTCCATACGCATACATATATACAAACATACATAGTTATATGCATACATACATACAAATATTTAAACCTCGTACAATATATTGTATATATGTATATACACTTAATAAAGCTCACTTTGTATTGGTTTTGCCATTGATAATTTCCTACATGGTTAAGTAGTTCGCCAGGGCTAAGCGGCTCGCCGCAGACAATGATGTTCAATGGGGCTTGGCAAATATGAAATCAGCAAATCTGTCCCCGATTCTGTAAGTTCCTACAATTAAAATTGAAATAATTTTTAGTTTAGTAAATCGTTTTGTATTCTTTTTTTAATTTCTATTTTTGGGGAATTTGTAATTTAAACTACACGTTTTAAAAGGCGCTAAAAGAGTGAATAACTATTTAGGTGAATGAATTCAATTAAATTGCATCTAAACATGCTGTAACCTTGTGATCAATTGAGAAATGTTAATTTAGTCTTACACGTGCTGACACTTTCTTATGTGATGTGGAACTGTTTACAATTACTTGCCAAATAACAATAGCATTGATTGGTTCTGTCGTTAGAAGACTGGTTCTGGTTTATTGCTTACTAGAAGACCCCGGCTACGCCTTGTTGTGGCTAAGGTATATTTAAATTATATTGAGTAAGTTGTTTAATTGAGTAAAATGTTATTATCAAAGTTAATTTTGGCATTTTTTTCTGTCTATATAGCTCGATTACGGAGCCAGTTATGATTTAAATAATTGCTTTGTGTGTCTGGGAAAATACAGCCAATTAATTAATTTTGTCCGTGTACAATAGTGCTGAAATTGTCTGACAGTTTAGGACATTTTGTATTTTTTTGCAGTTAGTAAATGCTAAAAATATCATAAACATTAAAAAAAAATTAATTTTCCGATTAGCACCAAACTTTACACGATCACTTGCTGGGCCATCTTGAAGATCGTCCGAAAATTTCATTGAAATCGGTTTAGCCGTTTCGGAGTTTATAATATAATATATATACTCCTGTATATTATTAAATATTTTATTATATTATCATTACTGTACTTAGGAAGCGTTTCTCTTATTTTCATAAATCCACTAAGACTTCATAATATACACATCCTTCTTTATATATATAGATAACAAAATTACATTTTATTTTTTTTTCAGTCGTAAATCATTACAATTAAAACATATTAGCATTAATCCTTCCATATTAGCCCAAAGCTTTATTCATTTTCATTTTATTGACTTAAAATATAAGTTTTAGGGTTTTAAAGATTTTAGGTTGACCCGCTAATGAGTTTTCAAGGAAATTTTTATCCGACTTTTTATTAAAAAATGTTGCTTAAGAGTTTAACATTTATTAAACGGTTAACTGTATTACAATCATATTTGGTATCTTATTAACTTATATTTTAGGTATAATCTTACTAAGTTTCATTACATATTATTTTGCATGTTCGAGGTAATAATATTAAGATCAACTTAATTACTTGAAATTAGATATATGTGATATTGTATAAACTCAACTCAAAAGGATAAATTTATTATATTGGGTAGATCAGGAAAAGGGGTCAACCATAGGCTAAGGTTTCGACCAATTTCATCTTATTTTCAGCGCTAAATCACATCAGGATTAGGAAAACATATTTACTTAATTTCAGTAAAATTATAAACATTTTGATCGACATACGCGTTCGGTAAGTCGAAAATCACTTTATAGCGTATACTGGGGCTAGTGGAAGCTCTGGGCTAATTGGATCAACTTTTTGCATAACCCAAGTACACTCGAGTTCATGTTTTCACGCTTCTTTGAAGATAACTTACACATTGCCAGATATAATTGAATAACCTAAAACATTAATGGTAATTTTCACACATTTTGGCCATTAAACTAGAATATATCCAATACCATAAGTTCACTTAACTTTGCTAAGTTATCTTACATATTGGGCGATATATACGCTATAAATTCAAACGAAAGTTAGGAGTGTTATATGTATTAAGTATATGGGGGCTAGGGGTTACCCCAATTGTATCTATTTTAGACATCTTCACTTACTATTACCAGAAATATATTCTTTCTGAATTTCCTTAAGGTAACTCACATATTGACCGATATATGGAATATAAGTTCAACCGGAAGTTCGAAATCAGGTATATGGGGGTAAGCGAAGTATAGACTCGATTTTACACATTTTTGATACAATGGCACATTATTATTGGTAAATTATTTTCTCTACATTCCAATATTATACACACCTCACATATTGACTGATGTTTTTGATAAAAAATCAGCCAAAAGCACCGGGTTCCACCAGTTCGATATCACAACTGACTTTGAAAACTTTGCGAGAGGTTTTCTTGAAAGCCTTACGTATTGCAATATTTTAGAATTTACTCAATTTTAATTTTTTTTGGTAGCTTGCAACTTTGTAACAAAATATATTTCGTATACAAATACATATTAATATTTATCTGAAGTGCTTTCGAAGTACCTACCCAGACATCCACTTTAAGTATCCTATTCTACACTTATCGCCAAAATATAATAAGAGCAGTAATTATTACCGGATAAAGTCGCGAAATCTGTGTGGTGATAAACTAATATGTATTCTGTATTAATTTTTAATTAAATAACAATTTAGACGAAATTATTGCAATTTGGAAGCTAATATATTATATAGTTTAATATTATATACGAATATGTATGTAATTTAAATTATTTCTCAGTTAAACTTTTTTTCAAAAAATAATTTTATTTCCTTCTTAAATATAGACTATCTGTTAAAAAGCATCTAATCTCACAATGTAGAATATAATTACTTGGTACATACATATGTATACAGGTCTTATTTCGAAATATTTTTAAAATCTTGTCAACTTAAGCATAAATATACATGTGTTATAAATTCATATAGACTGAAAATCCGTCGCTTTTAGGTGCACACTCATGACTTTCTACTTGTCTAATGAAAAAACATATGTAGACTCTTAAACCCATTAATACTTTCATATGGAAAATATATTCAGTCACATGTTTTTTAAAATACTCGTGGCATTACATTTAAGAATTTAAAACTATCTATATATTTTTATAATAGTACATGATTAATTTTGTTAATTTGATTTGATTTATGTGACATTAAATTGAATAAATACAATGTAACAAGTTAATAAACAAGTCTTGATAAAAGCAGTAGTATACTATTAGTTTACTTACTATGAACATGTGTAGAATTGATAAGATAATTTATCATTAATCTATTTTTACAACATTATATTTTGTGTCTAGACGAGCAACACTCGAATGTTATCGCACAAATTTGACAATATATAATAACAGCTGCAGTGATTGCATACTTTTAGGTGGTTAAATTTAAGTGATCTACTCTTAAGAAGCTTTATTTTCTTACGGGTCTCTAGTATTTATGCCGTTTTCAATCAAGTAATTATACCTTTACCTCGCTGAACATTTCAGTATATGTGTTTAAGGGAACTCTTTTGAAACTGCTTGATGACCTTGATCATATATATAACTTTACTTTAAATGTGAAAAAATAAGTATGAATCTGTAAAGTGTTGTATCCATAACGAAAATGCTCCCTAGGTTGATTAGTATTCGTAGATTTAAACCAAGTAGGTTAAGAGTTTAAAACTCACTTGCCAGATCAGAGTTGTGAATTGGCACTTAAACTCAACAGTAATGTCCTTATGCACTTTCTAATCAAATTTGGCTCGAACTGGTCCAAACCGAATCGATAAACATTTTTTCCAGGATTAATAACGAGTTATTTAAAATTTTGGTTTTTCCAATGGAATCGCGGTTAAGGAATCATTTAAAATGTTTCAGAAGTGTTTTGGGAATTCTATTTTATTACGAACACAAGTATTTGAGTGGCACAAAGCCTTCAGTGAAGGTCGTGAAATCATTGAAAACTTGCCTCATACAAGTTTTCCATCCATCTTTGTTAATGACAATAACATTGTCGATGATTGATGGTTTAGCTGAATTTCTCCCTAAATTGTATTAAGGTGCCACTACACGATGGTCTGATCATTAGGCATACCATTATACCATTATGATCGACTCTTTCTTTCCTTATTTTTTAAATGACTATTGGAATATACTTTTATATGTTCACACCCTTAGTTTGTTAAAATTTCCACATGTCTTAGTATTCAGTGTTACTTGCATGAAGAACAATTGGTATAAGCAATTTTATGACAAATAAAGAAGTACGCATTTCTCACATTAATCACTAACTTGGAGGGTTGCCCAAATATTTTATTTAGAGCGTCAACTGACTTTTAAAACGCCGCAACCATACCTATGCCAATATTTTGCTTGCCAAAAAACATTTAATTTTTTTTTAGCTTAATTGTTTAAGTTAATTTTTTTGTTATTAAAAATAGATGAGTGAATATGCTAAAGCCAAATGCTCAAAACTTTCCATTACGCCTTAGTACTTTAAAGCGCCACCCAGGAAAAACAAAAGACAGAAATCCAACAAGCAAATTGATCATACATTGTAGCTAAGTATACAGATATTTATGTATTTCTATATATATTAATATTTTAACTTATACATATGTGAGATATGATATACTCTGTACCGATTGTCGCTGTTTACTTCAATTAAAAGTAATCAAAATATACTTGCATATAATAGTTAATAGAAAAAGTGAAAAGACCTTTGATTGTCAGCGATGTCGCGTGTTCTCCAATTCCCGTCAAGCATTTAACATTTCTGAACCAACGTCATCAGTTATCAAAGAAGATTGAGCCGACAAATGCTCATCAACACGAGCAAGATGATTTGTGACTTTTCATTGCATAATTCTTCGAACTCGCCTCTGCTCTCCGAGCGCAACCAATATGCAGGTGTCATATTTGTTGACGATCTCTCGTGAGATCATATATGTAGTTAAACCTACAGATTCTGCTTGTTCCGTGTTTATACGCGTATGCACTCCAACTTACCGGCATGTGATCACGTTTTCGGTTGAGGCTTTCTTTTATTCAGCAAATAATTCCCGCTTCCATTCAATTCTAATTTACTTTTCAATTATTGTGGTTGTCGTTTATTGTGATTTTCTATACATACACACATACATTTTTACATGTCTCTCTATACTTTTTCGTACATTTATTTTTATAGACTTATTCGGTGATAATTGCTTTGATGGGCATGAAAATAGTTACTATTTTCTTACTCTCCATTAAATATAGCAATTACTATTCGGAATTGTCTAAAATGTTGAGAAAAAAATTTTACGACTATTTTAATTGCTTAAAATACATTTGTTATGGTAATAGCTACTTTTGTTCGAGTTAAACTTTAAATATAATGATTGTAGGCAATACATGTACATACACGTATGAGAATAAATATTTTTACATTAGGGTGCACAACTTTTAATATAAAAACCAATTTAACCCCAACACGGGTAGTAGAGAGAAAACTGGGGCCCGGATAGAATATAGGATGCGGATCCCGTGTTTCATCAAGTTATTGATATTATGTACATTGAAAATTGTTGAAGAGCAGCGGACTGCTCTCAAAACTCCCGAAGGATTTGTCCCCGAACTGAAACCGAACGCTTAAAAGTTTTCATAAATCGTTCGGTAGAAATTTTCTCTAATAATAATTACTTTTTAATCGTTTATTATAAAAGTGCATTCAATAAACTTGATTTTTTTAGAGCACCACTCTAAGTCTACATAAATATATATAGATGAGAGGTTAATTTGTTATCCGATGATATTTTGAGTATACCGCAAGTTAACTGTATAGTCTTCCTTTAACTCAAAGATGCCCATTAAGTATTAGACTCATATATTTATGAGTAAACAATCGTCACCGAACAACAAAAGTTCGTCATGCTAGAAATAGTCTATTAAATTGCTTGGAAGAGCTAGGATATCAGTTGGTTGGCATTTCAAGTTGACTGTAGGAATAGATTTATGAACTCTTCGAAAATATGTTGATTGAATCTAGCAAAGAGCAAAATAGCAGACAAACCACTAAAATTGACTTTTTAATTTTGAAAATATTTCTCTGTATATTAAATGTTTCTATGTTTAGTTTTATTTTTTTTTAACCAGAGCATTTTTAAGCCTCATCATTACTGTACCCTGAACAGGATATATTAGTATATTATGAAAACTTCGAATACGAAAGTATATATTATATTATATATAAATTATAAGCGTGGCGAGCTGAGTCGATATTAAGCCATATCCGTCTGTTTACATATACTCGAACCAGTCCCTCATATTTTGATATACAAGATACTTGTATGGAGTATTGCACACGTTCTTTTTTCACCAATGAGCTGCTCATTTGTCGGAACCGCCAATATCGGACAACTATAGCATAGAGCTGTCATATAAACTGACCGATCAAACTAAAGCCCTTGTATGGAAAACTTTTTATTTTGACAAGAGATCTTAACAAAATTTGACACAGGCTATTATCCAAAGCATCGCTACAATCTTCGAACATATTGTTCAGTACAGACCACTATTTCAGATAGCTTCTCAAACTGACCAATGAAAATCAAGATATAAATGTTTTTATACTCTATATTACTACAAAAAATGCATATGTGAAGGGCCTTATCTAATTTCGATCCGCGAATGGATAATATAAAAAACTGTGTTCATTCGGAGGGAGTTCTTATATAGTGGCACTTTCTCTCTAGACCATACATTACCACGGCTGCCTTAAAATAAAACCAATTTTGTTAAATTAAAATTGATCAACAGAAAACAATGCCTTTTTACCTAAGAACAAAAATCCAACGTAAACAAAATGTATTTTTCCGTTTTATGTGATGTCATTTATACTTTTGAACGAACTTCCAACGGGTGATTTTAAACCATACTAGAAATTGTTATAAAGTCATTAAATTTCAAAAATATCTTATATGTATATAGGTATATAAGTCACAGTTAATGTTAGCCAAACGATGTAATTGTATTTACTTCTAACATAACCTCTAATTTTTTGTATATTTTAAATTAATACTTTTAGAACCAAACATACACGCAGGTGCCTTCGGAAAATACGCCAACCGAAGCTAATGCTACCAAAACCTTAAGAGATACCGTGCATCAAAAGAGTGATGTGGAGAATATGGCACAGGTCAAGCTGAGGAAGGAAAGTGAAAATGCGCCCGAGCACCCGCCAACGAAGTAAATACACACAAATATAAAAATAACTCATGAATCAAAAGTTATATACAATTTCTCTCCATTTTAATACAGTTATATCACGACGCTAATACACATCTTCAAAGGCAACATTGGACCCGGTCTATTCGCTATGGGTGATGCCTTTAAAAATGGCGG